GGACTAACTGTGAGTCCCCTTTGATTACGTTCACTTTGGCTCATGTCCCTGAATCTTTGCTAAATTCGACGGTGACGGAATTTGTGAAACGAGATGGCAGCTGGAATTGGGCATTATTTCAAGATTTATTACCAGCAACATGTTTGCTTCGAATCTCGGCGATCCAGCCACCTCCTGTGAATGGGGATGAGGACTCTTTATTTTGGGGCTTCTCAGCGTCTGGCAACTTTTCTACAAAATCCGCGTACTCAGCTCTCGCCTTGGTTCCTGGGCAACGTGGGGCGGATCGACTATGGCAGCTTATTTGGAAGTGGACGGGTCCACAGCGGGTACGGCACTTTTTGTGGCTCGCAGCTCGGGATTGTTTGTTGACCAACGCCACGAGATTCCGTCGTCACATGTCATCGGATTCGCGCTGTCCGCTCTGCCTGGCCGCGTGTGAATCGACTCTACATGTGTTGCGGGATTGTCCGGAAGCTGCAAAGACCTGGGAGCAGTTACTCCCCCGCAAGTCGTGGTCGGCTTTCTTCTCCCTCGATCTGCGGCAGTGGTTCTTACAGAACTTGGGCGGTCCTTTGAGCTGCGTAACTGAGGACTGGGCTGCGGTGTTCGGTTTGACAGTATGGCGCCTTTGGCGCTGGCGTAACCTTTCGGTGTTCCAAGAAGCTGCGGTTCCTTTGCCACGCCGAATTAACGAGGTCTTGTCTTTTGTTCGCACGGTGAGCTGCTCTTTGGAGGGTAATCGGAAGCTGGGTGTCTTTGGATCCCGAGAAATGCGTTGGATATCGTGGTCCAGCCCACCGGATGGCGTGCTTAAGGTTAATACGGATGGTAGTTTCGACCCATCGTCGGGTATGGCAAGTGCCGGAGGGGTTATCCGTGATCACAATGGTAATTGGGTGCAGGGGTTCTTGTTGAATATTGGCTTCTGTTCCATTATTGGGGCTGAACTTTGGGGTTTGTTTCACGGCCTACGGCTTGCTTGGGATGTAGGGGCGCGTAAGGTCCAAGTTGAAGTGGACAATATGAGTATTATTGAGATGGTCCGGCAGGGTATCCATCCTGGGGTGCATCGTGGTCTTTTGAGTAGCATAAGAGAGCTCATGGGTCGTCAATGGGATGTGGAGCTTAGCCACGGTTATCGTGAGTCGAACTTTGTAGCGGACTACTTGGCTTCTTTGGCGGCTAGGGGTCCGGGCGGTTTCTCTACGTTGGCCAGTCCTCCGCCGGGGGTCGGCATGTGGTTGCTTCATGATAAGGTTGGGATCTCGTATCCGCGGTCTGTTCCTACTTAGGCTAGCGTAGCCTCCGTTTATTGCACCAAAAAAAAAATGCATTAGGTAAGAGAAATATAACTGTGTTCTCTACTTTTTCCACATAAATGTTTTGGAACCGCTCCCTTATGAAGTTATCCATAACTTTATGTTATTGACATGTATTCAATATGTATTTATTGCAGGACACGTGTCGACATTATTTGTAGATAACTATAAATGACTTTTTAAATCGAGCCATCCGAGGGCTATATAGTCAAGCCTAATATCTTTTTTTCGAGATGCTTTGTGCTGATTTGTCTCTCGTAGTTGGGATAGTCGAGCCTAATGGAGCATAGAAGTCTATCTTGCCTTGCATTTTGATATTTTTGTTTCTTAGTTTTGCTTTCTCTTTCATAGTCGATTTTAGGCCCGTGATTCTCTTTGATTCCAAAAGAAGAATCGCCATTTTTAATAGTTTCTATAGTTGTCTAATAATATT